TTTTTGAGACAGAGTCTCCCTTTGTTGCTCCAGGCTAGAGTGCTGTGGTGTTACCCTAGATCTCAGCAGCCTCAAACTCCAAGGTTCAAGTTATCTTCTTGCCTCATGAGTAGCTGGGACTACAGGCACCCACCACAATGCCCAGCTGATTTTTTCTATTTTTAGTAGAGATGGGAACTTGCCATGGCTCAGGCTGCTATCAAACTTCCTGAGTTCAAGAGATCTTCCTGCAATTCTTCCTCCCAGAGTGCTAGGATTATAGGTGTGAGCCACTATGCCCAGCTAATATATAATTATTTTTAATAGAATTATGTTAACATGCAATAAGTCTCTTGTTATTCTTTTTAAATGAATTAATAAATATACTTTTAATTTCTCTATTTTAATTTTTAATGTGGTAAGTATTGATAGATAGAGCCCACATAAATAAAAGCTCTTTATGATTCTCAGGTTTTAAGATTATAAAGAGGTCCTGTAGGGCGGCACCTGTGGCTCAAAGGAGTAAGTAGGGCACCAGTCCCATATGCTGGAGGTGGTGGCTTCAAACCCAACTCCAGCCAAAAAAAAAAAAAAGAGAGAGAGATCCTGTAATTGAAAGTTTAAGAACCAGTGTTCTGAATGGTAACATACTATTAGTATTACTACTAGTAGAATATTAATCTAGATTACCAAATAGTCTTTCAATGGGCATAAACTTGTATAATAAATCACACGAGGTTTAATAGTCTTTCTGTGTGCTAAAACTGCTATTTATAGCAGAATCAAAACATGTCTGAACTCTTATTAGTAAATAAATCTATATTCATGGTGTAAACCTTTTGTAAAGAAGTTTATAACTTAGTATATTCTAGTGACCAAATTAATAGGAAAGGTTTTTAGTACTCCTTAAATAAAATTACAAGATTGTAAATCAAAATTTTCAAGCTATTTGGAGTCCAGAAATTCCAGACTACCCAGCTATGAAATGTCCATGGGAAATAAAAATCAAAATATATATAGAGAAAAAAGTTGTTGTTTGATCTATCACATTTATGTGTGTAGTAAGGGTAAACGAAATGGTGTGAAACTACTCTGTGTTATCTTTAGCCTTAAATCTTTGGCTACAAATGTAAACTTTTACAAAAGCAATCTTTATTCTAACCAGGAAACTACCAAAATGCTTAAATCTCTAATAATCCAGCCACTGGTTCTTAACTGGAATTTGGCATATTACCATTTCCTGAGGAACTCTTTCTTCCTTCATGTTTTCTATTTGAGAGCCTTTAATTTAGATTTGTTAATTTAGGGAAAAATTAGGGTTACTTATTCTAGCCCCTTATCTGCTTAGTCTTTTATTTAGAAGAATTATCTTAGCACTGTAATGGTACAAAATAACAATTTTATTAAAATATACCTCATAAAATAAATATATATATTTATACCTCGTGGGAGATGGCAGCTTTACTAAAACTGTAGTGTCAGATGGCATCCCCCTTTTTCTATCTGTGTGACTGAAAGCTTATTCAGTATGTGTTTAGGAAGTAACTTTAGTACTTCTGCAGTAGTAAATTTTTTATTACCTTTTTGAATCTTTTTAAATAAAATATTTGTTTATAACAAGCATTGAACTCCTTGTGAAATAACTTCACTAATAACAAGTATTCTCTTTAATCATTTTTAAAGTTTTCTCACTATGACTTTTATATTACATTCTCAATTTTGATTACCTTTTTCCCTGGTTTAGTTAAAGAGAAGTTTGCATATGTTCTATTTTTTACTGCGAGACTTTTTACTTGATATGACTCTAACTGTAAGGCAGATTTACCATGTGTTTTCTCTATACTCTAAGTTTTAAAATTAAATTTTCTTTCCTTTGCATAACTAACCTGTATCATAGAGTAAGGCTGTGTTAAATTTTTCTTATGAAAGTAACATCCTCTTTTAAGGTGAGATGGAACCTGTTCTGAGGATATGGATATTGAGGTACACATCAGAAAGACAATCTAATTTCTTTGTTTTTGTTTTTTTTAGAGCCAGGAAATGTCATTTCAATTCTTATTTCTTCAGAGTTCTTGAAAATGGATTCATTAGTAAGTATTAATCAAAAGAAATTAAAGCTTTCTATTCACGTACACTTTTTTCCCTTCAAATGTCTAGAAAATTTCAATACATTTAAATTAATTGCTAATTCTAGAATGTGATTTCAATAGAAGAAATGTCTGCTTGTTTGGAAGTACTTTGTTCTGTGGAGAAGGGGTTAAGACTACTACGTATCATTTGTATGTTATGCCTATAAAGCAAGCAATTAATCCTCAACATGGAGCTCACTGTTACATGAGATGAAACTAAACAAAATTAACTTTATTCCAAAGAGATTTTACCCTATGACCAAATTAAGTTAAAATTAATTGGAATAGGCCAAGTGAGGTGGCTCACATCTATAATCCTAGGACTCTCAGAGGCCAAAGTGAGTGGATTGCTTGAGCTCAGGAGTTCAACACCAGCCAGAGCAAAAGGGAGACCCTGTCTCTATAAAAAATAGAAAAATTAAGTGGGTGTTGTGACAGGTTCCTATAGTCTTAGGTCTGGGGGCTAAGGCAGAAGGATTGCTTTACAGGAGTTTGAGGTTGCGGTGAACCAGCCTGACACCACAGCACTCTATTCTGGAGCAACAGAGTGAGACTCTGTCTCAAAAAAAAAAAAAAAATTGAATTTTTAAAAATTTAGAGGACCAGGTGTGGTGGCTCATACCTATGATCCTAGCACTCTGGGATGCCAAGGCAGGTGGATTGCTCAGGAGTTCAAGACCAGCCTGAGCAAGAGCAAGACCCTATCTCTAAAAAGAGCTAGGCATTGCGGTAGGTGCCTATAGTGCCAGCTACTCAGGAGGCTGAGGTAAGAGGATCACTTGAGCCTAAGAATTTGAGGTTTCTGTGAGCTATGACACCGTGGCACTCTACCCAGGGTGACAAAGTATGAGAGTCCATCTCAAAAAAAAAAAAAAAAAAAGATGAATACACCTTATGTTGGAGAGAGGGGAAGGAAAAGAGCAAACCCAACACAAGTGAGAAACCCCTAAATTAACTGAAATTTTGTTTTTGCCACCCAGAGAAAAAGAGACTTAAAATTATAACTAAATTCAATTATAGGAAATTATATATCTTGTACACTTGACTTTATAGACTAACATTTTTACCCTCCACAACCATAAAAGATACATGATTGTTAAACATTTTCTAAAGAAGGTTGAAAATATTTTTCAGTATGTATATATGTGTTTATAAATGTGACCTGCAGGACCACTTTGGAATAGTGTAGATTCACTCAAATAGGCAAAACCCAGTCAGTGCCTAGCAATACATGGATTAGGCTTTTAGTGAATTTTATCTTTGAAAGTTATTGCTGTGAAAACATTTGTTTTCTATTCTGTTTTTTTAGGTTGAACAATGTATTCAGTATTGCCACAAAAATATGAATGCCATAGTAGCTACCCCTTGCAACATGAACTGTATTAATGCAAATCTTCTTACACGTATAGCTGATCTGTTCACACACAATGAAATTGATGATCTAAAGGACAAAAGAGATAAGTTTAGAAGGTAATTTTTTTTAATTTAATTTTAAACTTAATGTTTCTGTTAAATATATTTCTATTTTATGTTAGTGAATTGTTTTATTTTTAGAATATATTTAGAAATATATTTCTATTTTATTATAAATGAAGCAAAATTTATCCAAAGCTAATGGGTCAAGATGAAAATTAGTAATTGGTCATTTTGTATGCTGAATATATGAGCATATAATGATAGTGAATTACAATTCACTACTCAGGAAACCAAGGTGGGAGGATTGCTTGAGACCAGGAGTTGGAGGGTATAGTATGCATCTGTGAATAGACACCGCACTCTAGTCTGGGCAATCTAGTGAGACTCCCATCTCTAAAAAATGAAAAAAAAAAAAACAGGCCTTAGTATGAAGGAGTAGAATAGTATAAGAGGCCAGCAGTACTTATATCATTTAATGGTTGTTTAGGTCAAGGTCATAGCAAGGAGGATATACTTTATTCTAGGTGTAAATGGAAGCAAGGGAGTGACAGGACCTGATTTGTTTTCAAGAGAACATTCTTGAAAAAATAAATGAATAAACTTTAGGGATGCAAGAAAGAAGGAGACCTGTTATAAGGTTACTATAGCAGTCTGTTAAGAAATAAAAGGGTTGGCTTGGCGCCCTTAGCACAGTGGTTATGGCGTCAACCACATGCACCAAGGCTGGTGGGTTTGAACCCAGCCCCGGCCTGCTAAATAGCAGTGACAACTACAACAACAAAATAGCTGGACGTTGTGGTGGGCGCCTGTAGTCCCAGCTACTTGGGAGGCTGAAGCAGGAGAATCACTTCACCCCAAGAGTTTGAGGTTGCTGTGAGCTGTGATGCTACGGCACTCTACCAAGGGCAACATGACATAGTGAGACTCTGTCTCAAAAAAAAAAGAAATAAAAAGGTTGGTCTAGGGTAGAAGCAGTAAAGCTGGAAAGAAATAAATGGATGCAGGGTATGTTATAAGAAAAATTTGACAGATTTATGAATAGGATAATGTGGGAAGAAAGAGAGGATTCTGGGATTCTTCGGTTTTCAGCTTGAACATCTAAGTGAAGTGGATGATAATAGCATTAATGGAGAAAGGAAAGATTAGGAGAGGAAAGATTAGGGTTAGAGAAATCAAGAGATGGATTTGAGTCTTGTTGAGATTATTTATTATGCTTCTTAGACATCCAGGTGGAATGGCCTATAGATAGTCAAATATATTAGTTTGAAGTTTAGGTCAGAGGTCAGGGCTTTAAATAGAAATTTAAGAGTAGAAGAGGCTTGAACCTAGGGAACTAGATGAAATTTCCTAGCAAGAGACCCTAATTAGCATGTGTGTATATGTGTCCTGTTCAAGAAATCTTTGGCTACCTAGATGTGGCAAAGATATTCTCCTATGTTTTTTCTCTTATTCGTCTTGTGTGGCAAAGATATTCTCCTATGTTTTTTCTCTTATTCGTCTTGAATTAATTTTTATGTGGTATGAGGTAAGGGTTAGGGTTTGTTTTTTCAAATAGCTATTTAGTCAACACAGCACCATATATTGAAAAAGACCATCCTTTTCCCATTGAATTGCTGTGGTACCTTTACTATAAATCAGAATACTATATGAAATCTGTTTCTGAATTATCTATTTTGTTTTATTGATTTGTCTCTCCTTATGTCAGTACCACATTGCCTTAGTTATAGTAGCCTTATAATAATTTTTGATACCCAGTAATCTAAATTTTTAAGTTTTGCCTTTCTTCAACATTACTGTCCTAACTATTTTAGATAATTTCATCTCCATATAATTTTTTAAAATTATTTTTTTTTTAATTTTTTTTTTGAAGCAGCGTCTTCACTATGTCACCTTCAGTAGACTGCTGTGGTGTCACAGCTCACAGCAACCTCAAACTCTTGGGCTTAAGCAATTCTCTTGCCTCAGCCTCCCAAGCAGCTATGACTATAGGTGCCTGCCACACACCTGACTATTTTTTTGTTGTGGTTGTCATTGTTGTTTAGCAGGCCCAGGCTGGATTGGAACCTACCAGTCTCAGTGCATGTGGCCAGCTCTGTAATCACTGTGCTACAGGCGCCAAGCCTCCATATACATTTTTTTAATCAACTTGTCTATTTTCTCTTTCTCACACACACCTGGAATTTAGGAGTAATGTGGAACCTGTAGATCAATTTAAGAAATTGAACATTGGCTTGGCGCCTGTGGCTCAAGTGGCTAAGGCGCCAGCCATGTACACCCAAGGTGGCCAGTTTGAATCCCCAGCCCGGGCCCGCCAAACAATAATGATGGCTGCAACCAAAAAAAATAGCTGGGCGTTGTGGCGGGCGCCTGTGGTCCCAGCTACTTGGGAGGCGGAGGCAGGAGACTCGCTTGAGCCCAGGAGTTGGAGGTTGCTGTGAGCTGAGATACCACGGCACTCTGCCCAGGGGGACAGCTTGAGGCTCCTGTCTCAAAAAAAAAAAAAAAAAAAAAAAGAAAGAAATTGAACATTTTAATAATATTGAGTCTTTCTGTCCGTGAATATGGTGTAACCTCCATTTATTTGACTCTTCCTTGATTTATTTCAGCAGTGCCTTATAGTTTTTGGTGTAGAGATATTCTTCCTTTTTAAATTAAATTTATTGCTAGGTATTTAAATTTTTGATGCTATTATAAATGCTTTTCTTATGTATTTTATTTTTTAATTGTTAGCAAGATAGTATTAAAAAGACTACCCAATATTTAGAGGTTCAGCAGAGAAGTAGCCATTGAGGGGCTTGAAAATGAGGAGGTAGAGAAGTAAAAGAAAAGGCAAAAGATAAGCTTTCAAAAGGAGGAAATGATTAAGTGACCAAATATGTGGAATGCTGCCATCCTGCTATAGTAGATGGGGACAGAAATTTGACCAATTGTATTTAGAAAACTTTTCCAGATATTTTACTGTGAATGATTGCTAAGAAAGTTAGTAGTAGCTTCAGAGATAGGTAGGCTCTAGAGAGGATTTTTTTTTGTTTTTGGCCAGGGCTGGGTTTGAACCCGCCACCTCTGGCTCATGGGCCGGTGCCCTACCCTTTTGAGCCACAGACTCCGCCTGAGAGGATTTTTTTTTTTAAAGAAGAGAGATACTTGATTTGTTTAAATGCTGATTAGGATGACCCATTGGAGAGGAAGAAATTGATAATGCATTGACTTACCTAAGAATTTAGTTCTTAGGAAAATGAAACAGAAAGGAATTATCTAAAAGCTAAATAACTAAAAACCAGAATGGAATCCTAGATCTAAATTTGGTCTTTAATAACAGCAGACATTACAGAAGGAAAACTGGAGAAAGGCAGGACGGATATCTGGAATTAAAGACACACTTAGAAGACTGGAGAGAAGATTTAAGTTCAATCTTACTATATATAATAATAAAGTAGTTAATATTTATTGAATGCTTAATATTATATTGGAACTTTTTATAAACATCATTTATGGGCTGAACATGATGGCTCATGCCTGAAATTATAATTCCAGTACTTTGGGCGTCTGAGGAGGGAGGATCACTTGAGGACAAGAGTTTGAGACCAGTCTGGGCAATATAGTGAAATCCTATTGTACCAAAAATATTTTTTAAATAAATTAGCTATGTGTTCATGTGTGCCTGAATTCTAGCTACTTGGAAGGCTGAAGTGGATCTGTTGAGTCCAGGAGTTTGAAGCTGCAAAGGTCTGTGATTGTATCACTGCACTCTAACCTGGGCAAGAGAGTGAGACCCTGTCTCAAAAGATGAGTAAATAAAATAAAAATTTTAAAAATAATTTAATTCTCATAAAATTATAGGAGGTTGAAATTATCAACCACATATTTTTTTGAGTAGTTATTCTTTTGTCCAGGTTGGAGTACGATGGCCTTCAGCCTAGCTCACAACAACCTCAAGCTCCTGGGTCAAGGCATTCCTTCCTAGCTTCCCAAGTAGCTGGGACTATAGGCATCTATCACAATGCCTAGCTAATTTTTTCTACTTTTAGTAGAGACAGGGTCTCCTTCTTGCTCAGGCTAGACTCAAACTCTTGAGCTCAAGGAACCCTCCTGCCTCAGCTTCCCAGAGTGCTAGGATTATAGGCATGAGCCAATGTACCTGGCTTCAACCATGTTTTAAAGATGAGAAAACAAGGTTTGGACATGTTAAACTGCCAAAGATCATATACCTAGTTATTGTAGTCCTGAATTGTGAAATTCTCAAAATCTTTAATCTTAACTGTTACACTAACAAAGGATTTAAAGAAAGTTAGATAGTCATCAATCTTGTATTTCTTGTGAAAATAGATTCTTTTTTTTTTTTTTTTTTTTTTTGAGACAGAGTCTCACTCTCTTGCCCCAGGCTAGGGTGCTGAGGCATCATCACAGCTCACAGCAACGTCAAACTCTTGGGCTCAAGCTATCCTCTTGCTTCGGCATTCCAAGTAGGTGGGACTTACAGGTATTGTGATGCCCTGCTATGGTTTTTTTTTTTTTTTTTTCCATTTTTAGGAGAGATGAGTCTCATTCTTGCTCAGGCTGATCTAGAACTCCTGAGCTCAAGGGATCCACCCACCTTGGCCTCTCAGATTGCTAGCATAATAGGCATAAGCTACCATGCCCAGCCCTGAAAATAGATTTTTTATCAAGTAGTTTTCAAGTGTAGGTTGATGTACTTAGAACATCAAAAATGTATTATAAGTCTGTACATGATACCTCACCAGCCTGAGTAAGAACAAGATCCTGTCACTACAAAAAATAGAAAAATGAGCCAGGCATGGCGGTGTACACCTGTAGTCTCAGCTACTCTGGAGGCTGAGGCAAGAGAATCACTTAAACCCAGGAATTTGAGGTTGTAGTGAGCTGTGATAATACCACTGCACTCTAGCTGAGCTGACGGAGGGAGATCCTGTCTCAGAAAAAAAAAGTATAAACTTCCAAAGAAAGCCCCTCTAAGGTTTTACTAATCTTATTTTATAAATGCACAGAGAGGTCTGTTTATTTTTATTACTATAATTTTAGTAAAGTAGACTTAGAAAATTAATATTTTGGTCATTCCTTGTTAATAGTAAACTTTTTTGTAAGAAGATTGAGAGACTGTTTGATCCTGAGTACTTGAATCCAGATTCTCGGAGTAACGCAGCAACATTGTACAGGTACAGTAACACGCTTTTCCTTCCCTGTGCTTTATGATGTAGCTATATTGTTTAATTCACTACATTTAAAATTTTCTTCTTGGATTTTTTTACGCCTTCTTTGTGTTGTAGATGCTGTTTGTGTAAGAAACTTCTAACAAAAGAAACAGAAAGAAGAATTCCTTGTATTCCTGGAAAAATCAATGTGGATCAACATGGAAATATTATCTATATTCACATAAGGTGAAGTGAAAATAAAATATAACTTTTTAAATGTGAACTTCTATCTAATACAAGAACTAGTAAAGCAAAAAATAATCATGAAATAAATGTTACTTTCTAGTATATTTATAAAAGCATAACTACTTTCATAGCAGGATAACATCTTTTCTATATGTGATCCAGTTTTGATTTAGAAAGATACTACTTTCAAAACAAAGTTATAGAAGTTACATTTTATTTATTGGGTAAATTTCATAATTTTTTAAACTTTATTTATTTATTTATTTATTTATTTATTTATTTGGTCAGGGCTGGGTTTGAACCTGCCACCTCCAGCATATGGGGCCAGTGCCTTACTTCTTTGAGCCACAGGTGCTGCCCAATTTTTTAAACTTTAAAGTGATAAAATTTATTGTATATTAATCCTGAAGAAAATTCTTGTCAGTGTCTTTAAAATGATTTCTTCTTACTGAAAGATTTTAATTATCTATGTAAATGGTATAATCAGTTTTGCAAGAGAACCAAATTTTCTCTCAGGTGAATTTTGAAACCAAATTTTCTCTCAGGTGAGTTAAGAAAATTGTCTTGGGCAGCGCCATAGCTCAGTGGGTAGGGCGCTGGCCACATGCACCAAAGCTGGCGGGTTTGAACATAGCATGGGCCAGCTAAACAGCAATGACAGCTGCAACAACAAAAAAATAGCTGCCCCAGCTACTTGGGAGGCTGAGGCAAGAGAATTGCTTATATCCAAGAGTTGGAGGTTGCTGTGAGCTGTGATGTCATGGCACTTTACTGAGGGTGGCATAGTAAGACTGTAAAAAAAAAAAGGAAAATTTTCTTTAATATTTGATTTTCTGTGATCTATTTGGTTTTCATTCTTTGTCAGTATTCCATTAATATATATTCCATTAATATTTAACACTTATTTCTTTTTATGTTCAAAGCAAGTTCTCATTCTGAGTTGGGGAAGGGTATTGTAAGTTAGTATAATGTCTCAGGAAGACAGAAACCACATCTTGCTGCTAGGAATTTTCAAGTAGTGCTGAATTTGTGAAAGCACTTAACAAGAACATTTAGTGCTATATTGTTTAAAAAGGCAAAAAGGGAAAACAAATGATAAGCAAACTAAAATATCCCCATATCAGTAGTATATTTGTATAAAACACATCTAATCAATTCCTAATGTGCAGCCTTTAAGAATAATGTAAAAGAATATATACTTAGGGGTCAGGCACAGTGGCTTATGCCTGTAATCCTAGCATTCTGGGAGGCCAAGGCAGGTGAATTGCCTGAGCTCACAGGTTCAAGACCAGGTTAAGCAAGAACAAGACCCCATCTCTAAAAATAGCCAGGTGCTATGGTGGGCACCTATAGTCCCAGCTACTTGGGAGGCTGAGGCAAAAGATTGACTTGAGCCCAGGAGTTTGAGATTGCTGTGAGCTATGATGCCATGGCACTCTACCTAGGGTGACAAAGTGAGACTCTATCTCAAAAAAATAAAAATAGATAAATAAATAAAATGGTTCATTCTTCTCTTAGTACAATAATCAGGGAATCTTCATTAGTTATTGTGAACACCTAGAATTTTATGTTTATTTTTGTCTTGAGACTTGATTCACCTTTTGAAAATTACTTCCATTCTGGCAGCAATAACTATTAGTAGTATGTGGAAAAGTAATTGATATTTACTCCCCTGGGTAGAGTGCTATGGCATGACAGCTTACAGCAACCTCCAACTCCTGGGCTCAAGCAAGTCTCCTGCCTCCACCTCCCAAGTAGCTGGGACCACAGGCGCCTGCCACAACGCCTGGCTATGTTTTTGGTTGCAGCTGTCATTGTTGTTTGGTGGGCCTGGGCTAGATTCGAACCCTCCAGCTCAGGTGTATGTGGCTGGCGCCTTAGCCACTTGAGCCACAGGTGCTGAGCCAAAGTAATTGATATTAATTTCAACATCATTTTTGTTGTTCTGTTAAAAGTATTTTTCTACAAGTCAGCAGGTAATATATATTTTTAAATTTCTCTTTAAAGGTTGGGCACACAGCTCACACCTGTAATCCTAGCACTTTGGGAGGCTGAGGCAGGAGGATTCCTTGAGCCCAGAAGTTCAAGACCAGCCTGAGTAACACAGCAAGAATGTACAAAAAAATAGAAAAATTAGCTGAGTGTTTTGGTGCTTACTTGTAGTCCTAGCTGCTTGGTAGGCTGAAGTGGGAGGATTGCTCAAACCCAACACTTTGATGTTGCAGTGAGTTATGATCACGTACTATACTCTAGCCCAGGCAACAGAGCAAAACCCTGTTATCTACAGAATAGACAGACACTCAAATGAAATTTTTCTGTCTTTCAGTGTAGTATGCATCATACCCATCAGTTGGGGAATGTTCTCAGAAATAAGCCACAATTTAAAAGCATCTGTTAAAAACAATTTTTTTTTATTTTGTTTGCTTATAAAATTGAGTCTCTTTCCCCAGAGATAAGACTTGGGATGTTCATGAGTATTTGAATAGTCTCTTTGAAGAATTAAAATCTTGGAGAGATGTATATTGGCGTTTGTGGGGAACGATCAACTGGCTGACTTGTTCAAGGTGCTGTCAGGTGAGTTTTTTTTGTTTTTGTTTTTGTTTTTTACAATACCCTACTCTGCAAACATTGGGAATAGGGTTCTTTTGATATCTGCTATTTAATTAGTATATTTGGATGTATTTGGATATAACCAACATCTCTTTAAAAAAGAAAGAAAGAAAGAGCTGGGTACACTGGTTCAATCCTGTAATCCTAGCATTCTGGGAGGCCAAGGCAGGTGGATTGCTTGAGCTCAGGAGTCAGAGACCAGCCTGAGCAAGAGTGAGACCCCATCTCTACTAAAAATAGAAAAACTAGCCAGGTATGGTGGCGCGCCCATGCCTGTAGCCCCAGCTACTTGGGAGGCTGAGGAAAGAGGATTGCCTAAGCCCAAGAGTTTGAGTTTGCCCTAGATACCACAGCACTCTAGCCTGAGCAACAGAGTGAGACTCTGTCTCCAAAAAAAAGAAAGAAAGAAAAGGAAAAAAATAGTGGCAAAACTAATGATGCTGTGAAACATTGCTTGCATCTGGCTTCCTTTCTCTTACCATGTTTCTTCTTTCTCTTTTCTATTTTCATTCCTGAAATAATTCCATGTTGAATTTTTAGAAAAGCAACAGGTTTTAAGTAATGAAGTCGATTTTTTCCAATGGAAAAAAATATGGAATCCTTATTACCTTCAATTATTTTTAGCCGAACTGTCTTTGTCGGCCCATTCATTTCTCTAGAAATTCAGAAACATGTTTGCAATTATGATGATGTTGATATGTGCCCTTGTTGCAATAATAATTCTGTTCTTTAAATGGTTTTGCTCTCTTGGCTCGGCGCCTATAGCTCAACCGGCTAAGGCGCCAGCCACGTACACCTAAGGTGGCGGGTTCGAATCCCCAGCCCGGACCCGCCAAACAACAATGACGGCTGCAACCAAAAAATAGCCGGGCGTTGTGGCGGGCGCCTGTGGTCCCAGCTACTTGGGAGGCGGAGGCAGGAGACTCGCTTGAGCCCAGGAGTTGGAGGTTGCTGTGAGCTGTAATGCCACGGCACTCTGCCCAGGGGGACAGCTTGAGGCTCTGTCTCAAAAAAAAAAAAAAAAGGTTTTGCTCTCCTTTTATAAATGAAGTCTATAATAAAAGTATAAGAAAGCTTTCTATTTGAAGGAACTTATAATAAACCCTTTTATGGAATAGGTCTTTATAAGTCATAGAGAGGGGGGCTAATTAATTCTAGTTACTAATTAATCTTATAGGTAAATCTAGAATTTCCTATACATAGTTATAATTTCTTACAAATTCCTGAAGGCTTCCTCTTCTCAGTAATTTTCTGTCACTTGGGTAATGATTTTCAGTAGAAAGAAGGAAAAGAGGTTATCAAAATCATCACAGTGGGATTTAAACTGTATAAGGTCCCACCCAAAGGATTCCCTGTGTTCCTCCAATTTTTTAAATATTAGGTGTAATTGAAATACATTACATCCTTTTTGTGAGTCTTGAGACACGCATGCAGTTGTGTAAGTACCTTTACAATCAAAGCATAGAATACTTCTATTACCCTAAAAAAATTTCCTTGTGCCCCTTTTAAGTCAATTTCTTCTTTTGCCCTAGCCTCTGGCAACCACTGATCTGTTTCCTGTCTTTATCCGTTTGCCTGCTCCTGAGTGTCATATAAATAGAATCAGATGGTATTTAGCGTATTTAGCGTCTTGAGTCTAGCTTCTCTCAGCAAAACGGTAGTGAAATTTATACATGTTGTTTCATGAATCATTTGTTCTTTTTTATTGCTAAGTAGCAATCTTTTGTAAGATCGTATGTTACAAAAGTAACATACAGTATGTTTAGCCATTCACTAGTTGAAGGACATTTGTAGTGTTTCTAGTTTGGGCTGTTGTGAAGAAAGCTGCTGTGAACGTTTCCATACAGGTTTTCATGTAAATTTGGCGTTTTACTTCCCTTAGTTAATTATGTAGGAGTGGGATTGCTGGGTTGTATGGTGAACTTTAACATTTAACATGCCTGATAGTTTTCTAAGGTCCCTAAACTATTTTGTGTTTCTGCCAGCCATGTATTATATAAGACATATAGTTAGTTCACATCTATATGGTAGTTGTCCCACATCTCACTAGCAGTTGATATTGTCATGTTTGGGGTTTTTTGTTGTTCTTAGTCTAATTAGCATATAGTGGTTCGCATCACAACTGGAGCATCATTTATAATCAGGGATCTCAAGCTTCTAAAATCTGACTTGTTTAATAGGAATTTTGAGGGGTTTTATTCTTCTTTTTAGCACATTGACTATTGGTAGTTAATATTTAATATTTATTATGGAGAATTCATAAACTCACAAAACAGTTGTTTAGAAAATATTGTGTCTTGAGAATATATATCTTACAGCTTTTATCATAATCAAAATTTTTAATTAAAAGCCATTGCTGGCTCGGCACCTGTGGCTCAAGCAGCTAAGGCGCCAGCCACATACACCTAAGATGGCGGGTTCGAATCCCCAGCCCGGGCCCGCCAAACAACAATGATGGCTGCAACCAAAAAATGGACAGGCGTTGTGGTGGGCGCCTGTAGTCCCAGCTACGTGGGAGGCTGAGGCAGGAGACTCGCTTGAGCCCAGGAGTTGGAGGTTGCTGTGAGCGTGATGCCATGGCACTCTACCCAGGGGGATAGCTTGAGGCTCCGTCTCCAAAAAAGGAAAAAAAAAAAGCCATTGCTTAGGGCTGGGCATGATGGCTAACTTGTGTAATCCTAGCACTTTGGGAAGCTGAGGCCAGTGGATTGCTTGATGTCAGGAGTTCAAGACCAGCTTGAACAAGAGCGAGATACCATCTCTACTAAAAATAGAAATACTGAGGCAAGAAGATCACTTGAGCTCAAGAGTTTGAGGTTGCTATGAGCTATGATGATGCCATGGCACTCTACCCAGGGTGACAAAATAAGACTGTCTCAAAAAAAAAGAAGCCATTATAGATATTTGTGAATGTTGTTGTGTTCAAGATCAGTGCTTAAAATTGTTAATTTTTTTTCTTTCTTTGAATTATTTTACCAACTTACAAATAAACCTGACTGTTGACTTTATAGTTTAGCCTTGGTAAGTTTTTCTCAGAGATTTCAAAGTCAATGATTCAAAGTTACTTCACAAATTTTATTAATATAGATGCTAAATATTTACCTTAAAAATTACATCAAAGGTGGCTCAGCACCTATAGCTCAAGCGGCTAGGGTGCCAGCCACCTACACCAGAGCTGGCAGGTTTGAATCCAGCCCAAGCCTTCCAAACAACAGTGACAACCACAACCAAGAAATAGCTGGGTCGTTGTGGCAGGCGCCTATCGTCCCAGCTACTTGGGAGGCTGAGGCAAGACAATCATGTAAGCCTGAGAGTTTGAGGTTGCTGTGAGCTGTGATGCCACAGCACTCTATCCAGGGTGACAGCTTGAGACTCTGACTCAAAAAAAAAAAAAAGGTAAGTTTTTTTTTAAGGTAAATATTTAACTCAAGCTTATAAGTCTAATACTTTGAAAGGCCTAATTTGGAGGATTGCTTGAGGCCAGGAGTTCAAGACCAGCTCAGATAACAAAACCAGACACTGTCTCTATAAAAAAATTATTAATAAAAATTAGCTACGTGTGGTGGCCTATATTCCTCCTACTCCAGAGACTGAGTTGGGAGGATCCCTATAGCCCAGGAGTTTGATGCCATGAGCTATGATCACACCACTTCAGCTTGGGCAACAGAGGAAGATCCTGTCTCTTTAAAAAATAAATAACCAGATGATGCAAAATTTTATTTTTCTTTGGAAATCTTTTGAAATGATTGACTTGAATGTACTCCTAGTCAGTTTAATTAATTTGAATTTTGAGTAAGGTGATTTTGTTTTTTGCTGTGTAATTACCTTTATTGAGGTAGAATTATATACCATAAAATTCACTCATTTATTCATTTTAAGTATGATTCACTGATTTTTTTAGTATATTTTCAGAGTTGTGCAGCCATCACCACCATCCAGTTTTAGCACATTTCCCTTATGTAACAATGGGAGGAAAACCAATGTTGTTAGGAAAGTTAAGGAAGTAGTGTATAAATAAAAAGAGAGTGGTCCATGGTATATAATACTGATAAAAAGTACGTTAGTACAAAAAGGTCCCCTATGCCCATCTGCTGCTACCTCCCGTTAACCTCTAACCCTTGGCAACCACTAATCTACTTTATGTCTCTGTAGATTGGCCTTATCTGTACATTTTATATAGATGGAATCTACAGTATGTGTTCTCAAGTAATTTTGAGATGTGTAGTTTCATTGTGGGAATAGTAATTGATTTTATATATTTTTTTTTATTCAGGCATTTCCCTGTATTGAATTTTCACATTGTCAGTTCCACCCAGAAACAGTCGTTTATCCCACTGCTCCAGGTCCATCGAGTGCTGTTGGCACGGGGGTTTACCCCTGCTGTAGCCAGAAGGTTCTTCGGTTTGACCCCACTCAGCTTACAAAGGTAAATTTTGAACATTGCCCTTTTGTAGTTACACTCCTTAAAGTATATGAAAGTAGCACATTCATGTAGAAAAGACTTCAAACAGTTCCTAAGTAAGTATAGGAAAAACAAGTTACCCTTTACACCACTCCCCTGTTTTCCATCTCTTCTTAGAGGTAACCACCGTTAACAATTTCCTTTCAGACTTTATTTTGTATACTTGAGGTACAAATTATATGTATGATAGTTTTTTGTATTGGAAATGAGATCATATTATTCATATTCTATAATTTGCCTTTTTCATTCAACAGCTTATCTAGGTTATCATTTTATTTAACTGCGGTGTACTAGTCCAACCTATACGTACATAACAATTTATTTAACCATTCTCCTATTGATGAACATTTAGGTTGTTTCCAGATTGATGGTATTACAGTGTTGCAATGAACATCCTTGCATATATATCTTGGTACAGTAGGTGAGTATTGCTATAGGTTAGATTCCTCAATCACTTACACCTTTGAAAATATCATGTAATTAAATTTCATGAGTGGATGAAAGGAACATAAGCTCTTCATCATCATCACCCATACAAAAAATATTTACAAAGCACCAAAGATGTGCCATGCACACACTGTACAAGGCAAAGGGTAACATTTGAAATTAGTTTCTGCCTTCATGTAAGTTATAGCTCGGGCAGTAATACCAAAAGGGGGGGGGAAAAGCACACAAAGAAATGTTTGAAGAAGTATAGGGGGCCATAAATATTTATAACAGGCTGATATGATCCAGCCATTGATGTCAAGGGAAGCTTCAGAAGAATTGGCATTTGTTTGAGTCTGGAGAATTTGTAGGAATATGGTAGGTGAAGAGGAAGGGAAGAGGCATTCCATTCAAACCAGCAAGGCTACCAGGAACATAGTAAGAGAAATTGGAAGAAACTGAGGCTGTTATGGAAAACATGCATAGTTCAAGACAAGGATAGAGAAGTAAGTAGGCGTCAGGCCATGCAAGGGCAAGACCTTGTAGGCCATGTTAGAATTCTTCTTTGATCTCAGGATTTGAAAGTCTCACTTGCAGTACGGAGATGACTTGGGAAGTAGTCAGTGGAGTCAGCTACAAAAGGAGGGTATTACAATCATTTTAGAGAAATGATGGTAGGTGAAGAGAAGTGATGAATTCAGTATTTAAGAGGTGAAACTGAAGTGACTTGACAGATTGTATCACAGAGAGAGGAAAGCAGTCAAATATGACTTAGTTTCTTGCTGGTGCACTGGTGATGCTGTTCACTGAGGAGGAAACAGCAGATGGGAATCAGGTTTGGAGAGAGGCTCATGAGTTCTGTTTTGGACATTTTGAATTTGAGGTGCTTTCTGAGCTAACCAGGCAAAGGCAATTAGGTATATACATTTGGAGACTCAGAGAAATGGCTAGGCTGAAAATAATAATGTGTGAGTGTTCTTGTAAATAAATGATAAAGCCAGTGGGAATAGGTGAGCATAAGAAGCAAAGGGAACCTCTGGAACCTTGAGAAACTCCAAAATCTAATGTCTGGATAAAGAAGCATGAGCCTGCAAAGGAGAATGATTAGAAGCAGGCAGAATAATGGGAGGAAAACCAAGGATGATGTCAGGAAAGCTAAGGAAGTAATGTATAAATAGTGTTCCATGGTGCATAATAGTGCTAAGAGGCCAAGTAAAGTAATGAAAGAAACATGTCCTTTGGCCTTAGGGACCTGGAGTTCACAGATATGAAGAGTTGTTTTGGTGGTGTGCTAGATCCACCAGCCAGTATGGGTTGAAAAGTGAGTGAGAGAGGAACGTGTAGGGACAGTGTAAATGACCGACAACTGTTCTGGGAAATTTGAGAAAGGAGATAGATTTTTGTTTATTGTTTTTATTTTTAAAAGTCAGTGGGAAGAATGCAGTTGAGAAGGAGAGGTTGAGAGTACAAGATTGATGAGAAGGCAGGGTAGAGTGGGATCTTAAGCACATGTGGCAGTATTAGTTAGGAAGAAAGACAGTGCCTCTGTTATAACAGGAAGGAAAAGAAAGATGGTTGCATTTTTTTCTGTTCTCTATAAAGTAAGGTAAAGCCATCTGCTAAGAATGAAGGGAAAGAAGGAGAGAAGTATTGAAGGTTTGAAATGGTCTTTTTAGAAAACAGAAGAGTGAATTTCTCAGAGAAATGCTGTATGTTGCTATGCAATTCGAGAGCTCATTGGTGATTGGTAATCATAAATTTAGAGTGGAATCCAACATACGCCTATTTATATCACTCTCTCAGCAGAGTAGGCCTTCACTGCATGAGTATAGGCATGAGAATATGGGTACTTTAGTCCATTCAGAGTTGGGATTTTGTCAGATGGGAATAGTAAAATTTATGGACAAGGAATTTGGAGTATGGCCTGAATGTTACTGAATAAAGGATTATAGAATTTAAGCTGGATTACTTTTGTCACATTTGCAATCAATTACCAACTTCGATTAATCAGAAATTTTATTGGTGAGGGTAATAGTTACTTACATAATGTTCGTAATTTCAAATGTTAGTTATGTGCTTTATATGCAAAGTTATTTAAATTTGGTGTGAGGGCACGAAGTGACTATAATCCCAGTACTCTGGGAGGCCAAGGCAGGTAGATTGCCTGAGCTCATGGGTTCGAGACCAGCCTAAGCCAGAGTGAGACCTTGTCTCTAAAAACATCCAGGCATTGTGGCACCTGCCTGTAGTCCTAGCTACTCAGGAGCCAGAGGCCAGAGGATTGCTTGAGCCCAAGAGTGTGAGGTTGCTGTGAGCTGTGACACCATAGCACTATACCAAGGGCTACAAAGTAAGACTCTGTCTCAAAAAAAAAAAATTTTTTTTAAATGAATAAATAAATTGGGTGTGAAACTGTAAAATGAAATTAGCTTTATTAGTACCAAGATATTTCATTAATTCATCATAACTGTGTTTTCAGTAACATGTTTTTTTTTTTCATCTTTGCATTTCTTTATGGTCAGGTTTAAGTTGTGATTCTTTGGTTTATTATCTTTTTACTTGTATTAACTATAAATATTCCATATATTGGGAGGGGATTCAAAGAATAAATAGTAATTAAACTGATAAGTCTTGTGTGTGAGACTTCATGTACATTGATTCAAGTGATAGTCTGGGTTAACTGAAAGTCTAAAAAGCTCCTATCATGATTTATATTTTCAACCATGGCAGACTGAGTAATTCAGACCAGTCTGTCTATCAAAAGGCAACTAGAAAAAGGTAGATGGAATATAAATATAAAAACCATATTAAAAGTATCAAAAAGCTGGCTTGGTGCCTGTGGCTCAAGCAGCTAAGGCACCAGCCACATAGCCTGAGCTGGTAGGTCCGAATACAGCCCGGGCCCGCCAGACAACAATGTTGCAACCAAAAGACAGCCAGGCATTGTGACAGGTGCCTGTAGTCCCAGCTACTTGGGAGACAGAGGCAGGAGAATTGCTTGAGGCCAGGAGTTGGAGGTTGCTATGA